CTCATATTCTTGAGCTCTTCATTGCCTCTTTCCTGTTTTCTTCAAAATCTTTATAATTAGATGTTGAAATTATTGAAATATTATTATAAAATAATAATTTTAAAATCTATTCTATTTTGTTCTCCGTCTCTTGCCTTTTTCTTCTATTTTCTGGAAGATTTCCTCAATTTTCATTCCAACTCTTCTATTGAACTTCTATTGCAGTTAGCACATTTTAATTTCAGGAATCCTACTCACATGTATAAATATATTTTCATTACTTTTCTGTGCCCTAAAACATTCTAGAATTTTCTTTATAGAATCAACTCACACTTTTGTTAGGTTAATTCATAGGTACTTTACAGTTTTGCTGTTATTGTCAATTATATTTTTTTAATTACTGTTTCCAGTCATGTTTGGTGGTTTTTAAGAATGCCATGGATTTTTGTACTGCTGTCTTTTATTTAGCTTTATTTTCTTTGTTTATAATCACTTAACATTATCCATATGTAGTTTCCTTTTTGATTATTAATCATTTTATTAGTAGTAGATCTCTTAACCCAGCTAAAGCTTTGTGTGGATGTTAGTTAGGATTTGGTGGCATGTGAGTCAGGGCAGCTTCATTTTGTATAAATTGTTCCAGAACACTTTTTCATCAACCCTTCTGTGTCTTCTCTAAGGTAACTTATTTTCTTTGTAGTACTTTCGTCTCTTTCTCAATATCTTTTCAGAATGAGCAGAGAATCTGCATGGCTTATTATAAAGCTTTTTATGTTATAGCTTTCTTTGTGGTATTAAGAGAGTGTATTTTATTCCCCCAAGCTAACACACAGAATTTCATTAACAAATCAGACACCAGTGAATCAGAGATCCTATTCCAGCATCAGCCTTTTATAATAATTTCAAGATGCAATCAACCAAGATGTTCAAACAAAACAGAGAAAGGCATGAGACTGATATCAGCAGCAGCTCCTCAGGTCCCAGTCGTCCTGCATTGGACAGTAGTAACTGGCTCAGAACGATAGACCAGGCTTCTAAATAAGGTTGTGGGGTTACCTCACACAACAGGAGCATTTAAAGTATAAAACATTTCCATTTTTTATCTCAGAGAATTGTATAACATAAAATATCCACCATGCTTCATAGATCCCAGGTTCTATTTATTATAGGCAATGCTCAGCCAGGAACACTCTATAAAGGGCATTTCAGAGATGAAATTTCTTCCTCCTATCATGTATCAGTAGTTCCTTTCCCCAGAAATCCACTTGGCAAGGAGCTTAGACCAGGTCACCTACCTTCTGTTCTTTCTCACAGGGAATCTAACAGTCAAGAGTGTGATTAGATTAGATTGAGGTTAATTGCTTTAATTACTTCTTTACACCACTTAAAGGATTCTGTACAACAGTTATCAAGCTGATCATCAAATATATTCCTTGCTACTACTTGAAAATCTTACTAACTTCTGGAAAAAAATGGGTTTTCTTTGTGGCTTTCTTGGTCTCACACTATGGAATAGGGTTTGTGTTTATTTCCAAGGCTCACCACATCCTGGTAGCTCACTGTTCAGATTAAGATCTTTCAGGTTAGAGACCACCATATTTCTAAGAGGTCTGGCTGTGCACAAAATCTGTTGGTACTATTTCCTCCATAGCTGAGTCCAGAATCCACTCTATTGGAATTTTTATGCTGGTCCTTATAGTTTACTATTTAGGCTGGAAATCTCATAATTTTATTAGAGATGAAGGGGATTTTGTTTTCCTATAGTTTCTGTTCTTGTTTTTTCTCTTTTCACTGAGGAGGAAGTTGGAGTGGAAATAACTTTACTCTGTAATCTTCAAAAGAAAATGAAATATTTTTAAAGAACTTCTACTTCTATAATTAAATTTTCTGTGATTTGAAGAAGTTTCCTAAGATAAGATTTGCTTTAAACTCATGTGTGTCTGATTTTTCTGTGAAAGAATTAATTTTTAAAACTTTAGAATTAACAAAGACCCTATATAAACATTGAAAATATGCAAAAAGCTTTTGAAAAGCAAATGGTTACATTTTGTAGTAATTGTTTTGGATTTTGAAAGCATATAATTGATATTGAAAAATATAAGAGTAAATAAAGGAAAAACAGAACTAAACTTTAGATTCACTTTCAACTGTTTTAAATCAGTATCTATAGCATCAAATGTTATCTGCAGCAAAAAGGAATTTAATTAATTTCATGGATACACTGAAAATATTGTATTCTACTGTATGTTCTTCTTGTTTCAGTTATTTATATTTTGAATTAACAACAGAATCAGATGCAAAATTCTCTGATGATAAAGGGAGTTACTGGCCAGTTCCACTAAATAATAGGTCCTCCAGAGAAAGGCCATACCTTACCTCTTTACCTCTCATACCTAGCATTTTACCTTTCTGGTGGTAGTCACTCTTCAAGTGATGTGCATTTTACTGCTATCAATAATGTGATAAAAACGTTTAAATAATATTATTTTATTATCATTTTTCTAATTAATTAGTATATGTCAATTAAAATATTAGCATTTTTTTCATAACCACCATCTCATTTATTTCCAAGGAATCTAAAGATTCTTTTCAATGAGTCAAAAGAAAACAAACTATTCTCTAGTAGAAAGGGAACAGAAAATTTTCAACAAAATAACACTTGTCAAAAAAAAAGATATATCTCAGTCAAATTAAATTACAAGGAGTATTGACATTGATAGAATACAAGTTCCTAAGATAGAATTGTGCAGAATTCCTAAAGTAACATCCAACTCTTATAATATGTAGCACAAGGAAACAGAGATTCCATTTTCCATGTCATTGCATCTGCCAAAGCAATCTTTTCTAAGCAAAGTCCAACATCCCTCTTCAATTCAGTATGAAATTTTATTCTGAGGTTAACAGTTATTAATAATACCTGCAACCATAGAATATCAGCTACATCAAGACACTAAGTGTAGAAGGTGATTCTCTGATTTCTGTTCCATCACAGGACCCAAATCTGACCAGATGTAAGATCTTTAAACTTATCCAGTCTACACGGCACTACAGAGCATCTGAGCAAGACTCTCAATGACAGTGATGTACCTTAACATTTTTCCTGACTTAGTTTTCTCTCTCACAGGATCTCATATCAACAAAACTTGAGAACTATACATTGTATCATTGAAAGCAATGTCACTGTGAAAGACTTTGGGTTCAAATAAGATAAAGTAATTTATTAAATGCTAATAATGATCACAGTACTGAGGCAAAGCATATTTTAAAATATAAGCATTGATGCACTTACATTGTATTGCTAACCTTATAAATACATTAGGGTAACTAAATGAAACAACAAGTGAATTCTCAGTAGAATTATTTAGATGTAGATAGGGTAGGGGACTTGGAGCAAAAAGTCACTTGGAGCCAAAGTGAGTCCAGACAGTCAAAGAAGGAAGCAAATAATAGATCTAATGATTGAAATAATTCTAACATCTCCCTAATTTCTAACAGTGAGTGATGGAACCATTAATTTTGAAGTGTTTCTGCTTGCCTATAGGGTATACCCCATTCTATTTTAGTGTTCAATCTGTAGTGATATATTTGTTGTTCTAAGAATAAGATGAGATAAATAGAGTTGTCTCTTAGAATTCAGCCTGTAATTTTAATGCCCATGAAAATCTATGAGTGCAATCAGAAACATTTTGTGGTGGAATTCTCAACATGATCTGAAGCTGTAATAATAATAGAATTTAACCAATAAAGAAAGACTGAAAGAGGCAAGGCTTCTCTCTTTCCCAAGGAATCAAGAAATCTTGAAGAAAGAACTCATAAAGAAAGAAAGGCAAAACTTGATCAAAGGGTTAAGAGAAAGGAGTGACTCTGAGTACTGTAATGCCTCTATCTCTCAGATGGTTTTTGATCACATTCCCATAGATTGATTGCTAAAGTCTGGAGAAGGAAACTATGCCCATAAACTGAAATTCATTGTGATGCATTTGAATTACAAGGTAACACTGATTTGAGACTTAGACAACATACTGTTGCAGGAAAGAGATTCTTCCCAAACAAAACAAGACTTCTTGGCGTGTCAAGAGCTCTATTGACAGCTTTGACATGGAAATGTAGCTTCCACAGCAAAGCCTCTTCACAAGGAGAATCCGCATCAGCAGGGGTGGGGCTCTCGGTCTGTATTAGTCAAAAGTCAGTTTCACGTGGTAGCTTAACTGGCGTCAAAGAAGTCACATTATAAAGGAGGAAAATGTCAGGTGACACAAAGTTCTGAAGAATGCAGTCATGTGTGAGATACGGCATCAAGTCTTCCAGATAGAGAATTTGGCCGCACTTAGGCTAACAGTTTGCTTATTCTTATGCTTGCCCTTAAAACAGTCAGCTGACCTGACTGACCGGTTGCTACTCACAGTTTCAGGCCCATTGTTAAAACTAAAGGTATTGATCTTACTGTTTCTACTTTATTCCAGTAATTGAAAGTAATAATCAGCTTGGTCTCTGAGTCCTTCTCCAAGGAGAAGGTCACAGGACTGTAACCTTACAAAATAGCCTGAATTTCCAAGACCACACCTTGAGTGCTTACAAGATAAAGAGATCTAACTGTTCACCTCTATAGAACTGGCCACCTGGAGGCATCATGTCGCCCTTCCATGTCTTCTAATGAGAAAAGGATTCTGCTGCTTGTTATCGATGCTTTATTGTTTGAGCTACGGCTGTATAACCAGCCCACTCCATCCCCAAGGTGGGTTCACAGTTTTGAGGGCACTAGCCTGCTGAGTCCCCTCTGCCCACCAAAGCAATAAAATTGCCTCTTTTCTTCTAAGCTCCAAGACCTTGTCTCTGGGTTATTTGGCTCGCCAGGGACGGGGCCAATATTTCGGCAACACTTTGAAGACAAGCCGTAAATGCCACAGTAAACAGGTATAGTCAGAGTCTGAGACATACAATGAAACCTGTGAATCTTGGGACACATTTTCACTGAGACTATGACTCATATATAGAATATGACTGTATTTCAAAGAACATACCTTGAGCTGCCACTGATTGAAGAAAATGGGTCAGACATGACCTCAACTCACAGGCTGAAGTCAAGCCCAGGTAAACTTTACAACATGAAGTAGAGCTGCCCCAAATAACCTGCAGACTGGGGAGCAAGCAAAAGAAGTATTTGTTGTTTTAAGCTCCTGAATTCTGAGGTTCTTGATTATGCAGCATCATTGCAGTTCAAAACTAAATATTAAACTTTTTACACTAATTGTAAGTCGTATTCCACTTATTTTCAACATAATATATTGTACAAAAGTGGTATTGTTAAAAATAGTAAGAAAATTTTGACATATAACATATTTTTGACATAAAATATTTCCTAATACCCATCAAAACAATTTAACTTTTAAATTTATCAAAAACATTTCCCATATAAGGTATTGAAATTAAAAATAAAAAATACAGTGTTCTAAAGATTTCTTCCTGGACTTGTTTAAATGCAACATATCATGCCCCTGTAGATGCTTTCAAGGTGTCTTGGATAAGGAGGGAGAAAGTGAGGCAAGCAGTCCATCCCCCCACCATCCCACTGCAACTCCAAACAGAGAAGCTTCATTACCAGATTTTTACACATTGATAATTCTACGTAAGGTTTCGATTTGGAAAGGGGCAGGGGAGGGGTTTTTTCCGCTAAGTTTAAAAACTAAGTTTGTAACCTATTTGACCCACAGTCTTCTTATCTAGAAAATTACAAATTTTCTCCTTACTGCTAAAAGAAACTTATTCATATACATTCTAATTAAATCCAAATATAAATAGCTAAAAATAATAATTATGCTAAATGATACATCATAGAGGAAATATTCCTTTTCTCCACAGCATAAATAATCATATTATAAAAAAAAATAAGTGATTTTCCTATCATGCCTTTAACCATACCTTTACTAGAATATGTTCCATGTTAAAAACTGTCAGTTTAAAAACTTATAGCTCCTTGGGAAAGGTACTCTTGAGAGAGGAAATAAAACATTCTATTTTTTGCGCTCAAAAGCATCTAAAACTGTGGGATGTATTCAATACTGCTAAGTAGAAAATAAACATCCATGCAAATTTTCAGCTGATGTATAAGTAGCAGTGATTATGATAGATTCTGACATTCAGAGCATTCTTTAACATTAAGTGAAAAATGACACAGCAGGCAGTGACTGTCACTTGGTGATTAGAAGACTACTCAGAGTCTCCTTACATATCCCATCCCTTCATTATGATATTACTACCACTGCAGTCACACCTCTGTGTTGACATTCTCTCCAGGATATTTTTTAAATAATTATTTAAATTTAATTCAGTTAATATAAACTATATTAAACCACTAACATCTACTAAATTTTGAGGTCTTAAGAAAGGATAAATTTGATTTTATTTGAAGACTCATTTCCCCTTCTCTTTTGGTAGCTTACTCAGAAGCTGACTACACAGGTCTGAGTGAGCTCAATGGAAGAACAGGTAATACTGGAGGCTGGACTCCAGAAGCCATCTTTTCTAACAAAGCCACTTATTTGCTGTTCCCTCCCCACGTTTACGTGACATTGTGGGGACAGGGGTCTCTGCTGCTGAAGCATTTTCTGTGGTCACCCAGTCCAGATGTGCTAGCCAAAACATCACTCGCTGTGTAACAATGAAATCTCTGGAGCATTAAAAATGTCTGTAACGTTCCCCGGTAAACCCTCTTTTACATTTACTTTAATGAAATTAGTATCTCCTTTGAATGACAAACACGTTACTTTTTGAGATTAGTTAACAAAAAGAAAGAGGGAGAAACACCTCCAAGCCTGAAAACTAAAAATTTTTCCATATATTAACTTTAAAATTAAACCTCTATAAAACGAAACTGTATTTTACAGACAATGTCCTCCTACTCAGAACAATTTCTACTTAGATATTAGTCCTTTATATTTTTCCTCCCTTTGGGGGCTTTTTTTTTTTAATAAATACAAATTTCTTCTTCTTTCATTGATTTGATAACTTTAGAGTAAAAGAAAGTACTTTATACCAAATAATGCTTTTCCTTCTCAAATGAAAATTTTTAACTTTATTCTCATTGAAGGAGAATTTTGCTGGACATAAGTCTCTATTTTAACTTTTTAAATGTATCAATATTCATTATGATATGGGGAAATATTTTATAGCTGGACTTTCTTCTACAAAGCCAGTACTGTTACTAAAACCACCAGTTCCTGGCAGATAGGGGCACTTTGTGTAATTTTATAGTATCCTCGAGGTGTCCTCCCTGGACTGACAGTTAAGTCAAGGGATAGTTCTATTATTTTCATCCCCAATGATATAAAAATAGTAAGCAGGAAGAACGCTGTCACTCAAAATCAATTATTTCAGCACATGGCAATGGAAGCCTGGAGTGAGGACTGACAAATACAGGTTTATGCAAATCTGAAACATTCAAAGATTGGCAGACCTCTGTGCTAGTGGACTACAGTAGAATTTAGTTTCATTTAAACTACACAGCTGGGGGCTGGTGGGAGGAGGTAAGCAAATTGTAAAGGTAATGTACACTAAAACCTAATAATTTAATTCTTTATTACTATCCCTATAGTAACTAACATATGATTATCTCGCACAGACAGTGATATCCTTTATACCCAGAAATGCCATTTCTGGTATCAGTATATCAAACTTAATGAGAAAGTCTTGACAGGAAATGTATTTTTCTGTCGTTAGTCTCATTCAACCTTTCCAACCCGTTTTTCCGCTAGTATTCCATAAGTCTCCTTCGACAGCCTCACTAATCACTGATCTATTCACCACCACACAGTCTTTTTCATTCCTTTGTGCCTTTGTAATATCTTTTCTTCTTCCTGGAATACTCCTTCCTCTTTCCTCTCCCTTGCAAATCCTCCTTATCTGTATCAAGAACATTCCTTTCCATAAAGCTTTCTCAGACCATTTCAAAACATGCATAATCTCGCTCCTTTGAACTCAAACAACCTACTATCCATACTTTATTAAGCATAATATATTTTTCTCTATTTGTATTAATGCATCATACAGGTATATTTTGCTTTCCCAACTATACTCATACTTAAACATAGGTAACATGTTTCAAAGTACCTAAAAGAGTGCTGTGCATTTAATAAGTATGTGTTGGATTGACTGATATGAGCTTTCATTGTAACATATAGAATTTACATCATCTATAGATCTTATGACCTAGAACTGAACTAGAAATACTAAACTCAAGACAGATTTTCTGTCAGATAACTTTTAACTAATGACACACAGACTGAATGTGGCAAGATTTCAAATTAGAGTTGAATGTTATTTTCTGCTTCAATTCCAATGTTTTGTGATTTTCTTTCTTCTTTGAGTTAAATTTTAGGAGAATATCAGGTTGCCAGACCTCAGCATTAAGAATAACAAACACATCTTTACTGAGGAGATTAAATATGTATTTATCCAGAAATAATGATTAATATATTATATACAATTTATCATAATACATTAGACTAATAATGTAGATATTATTTTCATTTTATAGGTGAAGAAACTGAGGTTCAAGAGTTATTTCAAAAAATGTCCATTAATTGAATGGATTATGAAAATATAATCATTTTATGACAAAAAAGACCTTTAAAAGTATAAAAAAAAGAGTTGGTTTGTGCAGATTTGCAATTATAGGGAAATAATAGATATCACCTTTTATTCTAGTGTTAGTGGTGCTTTTTGTACCTAAACCATTTCAACACACCTATTTCTTCCAAAAAACAAGTGGCTCTTAGCCACATTTCTCTTTTTTTTTTACCCTGAGAGGTTATGTTCAAGGACAAAAAGAGCAAACAGACTGTTTATTTGCCCATCTGTACGATTTCATGTGAAAGACCTTCAGAGGTCTTTTAATATATCATTTTCCCTTCTGTTTGTTTTTTTTAATTATTGTTTTTATTGGAGCTCTTAAATTATTCCTTCTAAAATTTATAATTTTCTGCAGCACACTATAATTTGCATCTGATAAATCTATATTTTTTCCTTTATCTCTAGAATTTTTAGAAGACTTGCAAAGGGAAACAAAACAAGAAAAATTGAATTAAATCACTTAATGAAACTAGCCCTGAGTTAAGACTCTGAAATTGTTTCCAGTCACTTTCATATTGGAAGAAGGAATTTGTTTTGATATATCCATAAGCACTAAACGAGAATGTTCTAAAAACTTTGGTTTAAATAAAGATTTTTTTCTCACCTTTGCAAAAACCATCTTATTTATCTCTTTATACCACAGAAAGCGATCTCTTTAGAGATTTGGTCTATTGAACATAAATGTCTTTTTAGAAGCTTTTATCATATATTGGTCCAGCATCTAGGTGCACTTTATTTGGAAGGTGAAAAATTAATAATAATTATTATAATCATAATATTGAGACTACTCTGCAAAGGCATGAGCTAATGTCCCAATCATTCTCTGTGATCAGTCATATTCTATAATAATGTTTGTTGGTTCAGTTTTGAGTTACAAATAAAAGTCTAATCATAAATAATGATTTTTCAACACAAATAGTTACCTTCCATGAGAAGAGAAGTAACTCAGTATTCACAGGCAGGATTACCTCTATAGATAAAAAGAAACATCAAAGGAAGAAACTGTTGACAAGTTATTTCATATGAGAAAAGTATTAGAAAGTACTATGAGCAGCATAAAAATATATTTCAAATTTATTATACCTAGACCATGTGGCATCATTTTGCCTGTTTTAAGAAATTTTGTTTGGTATACCAGGGGTATAGCTTACTAAAAAGCTGACTGCTCTTACGGCTTAAAAATCCTCAAAACAGGATGGAGTTTAGCCAAGGTGCTTGACTTCCCCATGATTTTTTTTCTAGTTTTATTGAGGAATAACTGACAAATAAACTGTATGCATTTAGAGTGTACAATGTGATGATTTGATATACATAAACACTATGAAATGATTTCCAAAATTAAGTTAGTTAACACATCCATCACCTCACATCGTCAACTATTTTTTTTTTTGTAAGATCTAGTCTAAGCAAATTTTAAGTATACAATACCATATTATTAACTACAGCCACCTCACTGTAATAGATCCTTGGGACTTACTCATCTTAAAACTAAAGTTTTGTACCCTGTGTCTTACATCTATCCATTTCCCCACCACTCTAGCCCTGACAACTACTATTTCTACTCTCTTGTTTCTATGAGTTCAACTCTTGTTAATTTAGATACCACATATAACTAACACCACACAATATTTGTCTTTCTCTGTCTGGCTTATTTCACCTAGAGAATGACATTCAAGTTTATATATAACATTATCTTTATCCCTTCACTGCTGACAGAGATTTAGGTTGTTTCCATGTTTTGGCTATTGTGAGTAATACTGCAACGAACATGAGGGTGCAGATATTAATTCAAGATACTGAGTTCATTTCTTTCTAATATATACCCAGGAGTGGGGTTGTTGGGTCCTATGGTAGTTCTACCTTTAATTTTTTGAGGAAACTCCATACTGTTTTCAGTAATAGTTATACTAATTTACAATCCTACCAACAGTATACCTTTTCCACATCGTTGCCAACATTCATTATCTCTTGTCTTTTTGATGAGAGACATCCTAACAGGTGCGAGGTGCTATCTTGTGGTTTTGATTTGCATTTCCCTGACGATGAGTGATGCTGAGCGTCATTTCATGTACCTAGGGACCATTTGTATGTCTTCTTTGAAAAATCCATTCAGGTTCTTTGCCCACTTTAAAATCAGGTTATTTGGGGGTTTTTGCTACTGAGTTGTAAGAGCTCCTTATGTATTGAACATTAGCCCATATCAGATACATGGTTTGCAAATATTTTCTCCCATTCCATTGGATGCATCTTTTTTTAAATTATTTTATTGACTGCTTTTTTGTGGTGCAGAAGCTTTTCAGTTTGATGTCGTCCCACTTGTTTATTTTTTTTTGTCTGTGTTTTTGGTATCATATACATGAAATCATTGCTAAGACCAATATCATGAAAATTTTTCCTGTTTTCTTCTAGTTTTGTGGTATCAGGTTTTACATTTAAGTCTTCAAATTCATTTGAAATACATCTTTTCTGTAAGAAAATACATCTTTTTTTCCTGTAAGACAGGGGTCCAGTTTCATTCTTTTGCATATAGATATCCAGATTTCCCAGCACCATTCTTTATTCAGTTTTATTAGGTAAAATTGATACAATTTTACTGTACACAAACAATATCTTGCATGTAAATACATATATACAATAGAGGGTACATTTTTTTTAAAATTTACATATATGCACTGTTCACTGTTTCTAAGAACAGTTTAGAACTTCAGCTTTTTAAATTTATATAATTATCAAAGGAATAAAGTCAATCACAAAATAAGAATCAACAGAATACAGTAATCCAATCATAAAGGACAGTCAAATGTGCTTACATATATGCAAATAATCAGTCATCTAAGTTATAAATAATAAGTACTTCATTTGTGGTTTCTTTTAGATTCCACATATAAGCAGTATCATATACCATTTTTCTTTCTCTTTTTGGCTTACTTCACTTAGAATGATGATCTCCAGGTCCATCCATGTTGCTGCAAATGGCATTATTTTATTCTTTTTTAAGGCTGAGTAGTATTCCAACCATTTCTTAAAGAGATTATCCTTTCCCCATTGATTGGTATTGACATCCTTGTAAAAGATCATTTGACCATATACGTGAGGATTTATTTCTGGGCTCTTTATTCTGCTCTGTTGGTCCATGTGCCTATTTTTATGCCAATATGATAGTATTCTGATTACTATAGTTCTGAAATTCAGTTTGAAATAAGGAAGCACAATGCCTCCAGCTTTGTTTGCCTTTCTCAAGACTGCTTTGGATATTCAAGGTCTTTTATCGTTCTGTATGAATTTTAAAATTTTTTATTTCTGTAAAAAATGCCATTGGAATTTAACAGGGATTGCACTGAACCTGTAGATCACTTTGGGTGGTATGGACATCTTAACAATATTAATTTTTCCAATCCAAGAACATAGGACATCTTTCCATTTATTTACGTCTTCTTCAATTTCTATCATCAATGTCTTACAGTTTTCAGTATACAGAATTTTTACCTCTTTGAATTGTTTGTAAGTATTTTATTACTTTTGGTGCTGTTGTAACTGAGATTGTTTTCTTAATTTCTCTGATAGTTTGATGTTGGTGTCTTGAAATAAAATTGATTTTTTTCATGTTGATCTTGTATCCTGTAAATTTACTGATTTTGTTTATTACTTCTAACAGATTTTTGGTGGAGTTTCCATATATAAGATCATGTCATCTGCAAACAGAGAAAATTTTACTTCTTCCTTTCTAATTTAAATGCTTTTTATGTCTTTATCTTGCCTAACTATTCTGGCTAGAATTTCCAGTACTGTTTTGAATAGAAATGGTGAGAATGAGCATCCTTTTGTTGTTCCTGATTTTGAAGGAAAAACTTTCAGATTTTCACCTTTGAGTCTGATATTATCTGTGGGCTTGACATATATGACTTTTATTATGCTGAGTTATATTCCCTCTATACTTCATTTCTTGAGAGTTTTTATCATTTGTCAAATACAGCCATATCTCATTCCCTTGTTTTGTTGTGCTTTGCAGATACTGCAGTTTTTACAAATTGAAGGTCTGTGACAATCCTTCATTCAGCAAGTCTATAGGCATCATTTTCCCAACAGCATCTACTCACTTTGTGTCTCTGTATTACATTTTGGTAATTCTTGCAATATTTTAAACTTTCTCATTATATTTGTTATGATGATCTGTGATCAGTGATTTTGATGTTATTACTGTAAAAAGATTATGAATCACTGAAGGCTCAGATGAGAGCTTCTTTTAGCAATAAAGTATTTGTAATTAAAGAATGTACAGTTTTTAAGACATAATGCTATTCCACACTTAACAGACTGCAGTATAGTACAAAGATAACTTTCACACACACTGGGAAACCAAAAAATTTGTGTGACTCACTTTACTGACATATTAACATCATTATGGTGATCTGGAACTGAACCCACAATATCTCTGAGGTTTGCCTGTACCTTTTTCTGCTTCTATTGAGCTCCCATGACATTCACGACCTGAGAAGTCAGGGTAATCAGGAATTATAAATTTTGTAAGAATTGGAGAGAGAATGAGAGGAATATCTCTATTCCAAGAACTCATCTTTACAAATAACTTTCTCCTTCTCAAAAATTGATATATTTTCTTTTCTTCTTCTACTATCTCAATTTATTTAAAAATAATTACTTAGTTCTCAAATAATAATGTGCCAGACTCTGTCCTGAAACTAACGATTCAATAAAGAGCAAAATCGACACTGTGCCACAGTATTATGGTGAGTGGTAAGAAGGAAAGTACAGAAAGTCATGACAATAATAGGGGAAAGTAACCTAATCCTGGGTAAATGTCCTTGTAGGAGTAGCCTTTGAACTAAGATTTGAATGATGAGTAGCAGTTAATTAGGAAAACAGGTGAGAAAAGAACCTTCCAAGTAGAAAATGCAGAATTCCCTTGAATTGAACTTAAGGAGATAAAAGAAGCTTGATGAGTCTGGGTAACTAAAAGATTAGTATGGCTAGAGTAAAAAAGTTAAAGAGGAGAGTTTTGGGAAATGAGGCTTCAGATACAGTCAGGTCCAACAGTCCTACTAAGAATTTTGGCCTTTTATCCTGAGGTAAGTGGTAATCCATTGACAGGATTTCAAAAAGGTGGTGGTGCTAGTGGTGCTGGTGATAGTTTTCTGAGTTGAAAAAATCACTCTGGATGCATTGTAGAGAATGGAATGATTATAGAAATGGCTAAAGTAGCCACTGATCCTGCAGTCAGCCTCTCCATAATCAACAGAATGTAAAGTTCTATTAGTTAGGTATCCTAATAGTTAAAATTTCAATAGATATCCTTGATGTTTCATTCTCCTAGACAAGCTCTTTAACCTCTATATAAATATGCTCCCTGTACAAATACTGCTATCCCATTATATAATCCCTTTCAAATATCTTTTTTGAAGTTTGCAACCTTATGTCCATACTATCCATCTTCCCTTCCCCTGCTGGGGGTACAGATGTATCTTCATCACTGTCTGATTATCATAGATCCCCTACTCCCCTGCTAACTACCAGAAAATTCTTAAAGGGCTTCTGTGGGTACAATCTTACATAAAAGAAAGCATGTAATTCTAATACGTTACAAAACTGCTATGAGGTATTCCCAGCCCTTGGCTTGTGATTAGTCTCCCTGCGTCCATCCTGCAATACATTTGTTATACAGTCTGGCTTTACATTGTGAGTCTGTGGTCTTTTCCTCATAACAATAATGGTAAAATAAGATATTGTAGTCATTTTTAAAAAGGATGACTAGGTAATGGCAGTGGAGAGAAAAAAGAACGTAGTCAAGAAATATTTAGAAGGTAAAATAAGAATGTGGTGCTTGATTGGATCTGGGTGATACAAGACAAGGGAGCTTCAAAGATGAGGCCAGATTTCTGGCTTGCAGAACTGAATAACTGGTGATGCCAGTCACTGAGTTATGGGACTGCTTATAAAGAACATGAGTTAGCCATACTAAAAACAAGGTTAAGAACATTCCCCAAAAAGTAGGGGCAAACATCCAAAGAAGTCTCCAGGATGAAAAATAACATGGCATATTCAAGAAAATGAAAAAGTTCAGCATGGCTGAGCGTATGGGATTGCTAGGGGAAACAACAAATTGAGGTTGGAGAGGTAGGTTCATGCCAGATGTAGTTTTATAGGTTATTACGAAGAGTTGAGATTTTACTCTAAATGCAATTAAAATTTAATATTTAGGCATGAAAGTTTATAATTTGACTTAAATGCTATGAATATTACTTTGTGGGTTTTTTTAATTAAAATCAACTGAGGAAGTAAAACAATACAAATGGTAGAGATGTTGTTTTGGAACACAGGCAAGAGATAATGATGACCTGGATGAAGATGTGGAAGAGGACACAAAAGAAGTGCAAGAAATAAAGAGATATTTTGAAGGTAAAATTAATACATCATGCTAAGGTTCATGCGAGGAGCTATGGAAAGTTATTGAGAAGGGGAAAAACCAAGCAAGTACTTTGGGTTTCTAAGTAAGTGTTGAAACAGCAGCAGGGAGTATCAAAGGGATTTTGAAGAAAAAAATTGAAAGTTACATTTTGGATATGTTAAGTATGAGATCTGTGAAATACTGAAGTAAAGATGTCAAGTATCTGTTGGAAATGTGAAGCTGAAGCCCAGGAAAAGATCTGCATTGGAGATACAGGTCTCCATGCCAAAGGATGTGTTTTAAATCCAGGGAAATGATTGCAACCATTTAGAGGTTAAAGAAAGAAGAGGATCAGATCCAAATGAGCTCTTAGGTCAAACAGAAGCAAAGCCAAAAGACAAATCTGAAAAAGAGCAACTAGTGAGAGAGAAGGAAAACAAGGAGAGAGTAGAATCACAGAGGCAAAAGGAAGAAAGGAAGCGAGAGTATCTCACCATATTAAATACTGCTGTAAAGCAGAGCAAGATAAGGATAAAGAAGTACATTGTACTGGTAACAAATATTTTTGATTATGCTGATAAAAGCAGATTAAACTAAGTGATGATGGAAACTGGACAGTAAGGAGATGAAAAATGAACTGGTGTTGGGGATGTTGAGACTGTGTGATGAAAACTCAGAAGTCTGACAAGAAAGGGAAAACCCGAGGGTCAGGGTTTGTTAGTTAAAAGATTCTAATGTGGTACATGTAATCTGAGGGGGCTAATCTTGCAGAAAAAGAAAGATTGTTAAATCACAA